TTGAGCTTAAAAGCTTTAACGAAACATGAATGCTAGTTATTTTAATATATATATATATATATATATATAAAGAGATACAAATGAAGACACTTGAAATGAACAAGTTTCTTCATTTCACTGTAAGAGGCGTTAATCTTTGATTTTCTTACTAAAACCAAATACTGTATTTTTCACCTCTTATGTAATCAAAACGGAATAGTCCTTTATAAGTAAAAATGGGCTTTAAATTTCAATTTATCGACACTTTTGAAATTTTCTATGCACACATTACTGGAAAACACAGTAAAATAAGGATACGCATTAAGTAAGATAAATATTGATTTTTTTCTTTTAACTTGAATTTATTTGGACTTTTCTAAGTAAAAATAGTAAAAATCATGTAGTATGAGCATTTTATTTAAAACTCTGGCTTACGTATGGAGATGAATTTACAATGAATTTACATAGCGAACTAAACTCCACCACCAGCCATTAAAATTTCAAAATTAAAAATATTCGTAACCTGGAATATTTATTCATTAGAAAATTAGAATTAAAAAAAAAAAAAAAAAAAAAAAAAAAAAAAGAATTAAAAGATTATTTTGCGAAGAGATTCTTTTCTGTATAATAATGTTTCCTGTTCGTAAATATGTATAAATATTTTCATATTTAAGCCATTACAAGAAACACAAAGTTCATTTTATTAAATCAAAATTAGTAGAATGTTGTAAAAGTAAGCTTACTTACGTGTGGTTACGCCGGGTCTAGACAAAGATTTTCTTGAGTAGTTGGCAAATTGTCCTTCGTTTAAAAGGAGCTGGATTTTGCATGTAAAAAAAATAATTCCCGTCTTTTTCACTTTGAAGAGGTGGGGGACGGGGCGAGAAAAAAAGCTTCTGACTCCGAATTTCAGTATTTATAGTCTAGCAGATTTTGGCGCGCAACTCTGTGATTGGCTGCTGACTTTTCTAAAGCCCCGTTAAAATTATCTGAACTCAGATTATACCAGTGTTGTTTTTTTAATTTGAATGAATGAATGAATGAATGAATGAATGAATGAATGAATGTTTTATTATTATTATTATTAAAGTCAGGCATTAATTTCGGCCGGCTAACTGATGTTTTTACAACATATATTGATTGTGCTTTTTTTTAATTACTAACACTGTTTTGTTTTGTTTCTTGTAAAGAAATCTTGTATTACATTGTAAATATTCATTGGGGTTAAAAGTTTTTAAGAATTGTTACTTTATTCTCCCACCCAAAGACAAAATTGTACATATATCGACTAGTTCGGATTTAATAGAATCTCTGAGGTAATATGGTGGATGTAGTAAGAATGCTAAGTGATATTTAGCTTCCCACGTCCCCACGAGGGTTAGATATGGCACAAGGCCGGGTTTAACGTGGGATTTCCGAGCCCGTAGGCTCGGCCAAAAATATTCCCTCTTTGAAACCGCATAAACGGGTTAAAAGTGCAGTCAACCACGCCGAACGAGACTCTGCCCTTCGGCGGAGCCTCGTCCGGGTTTCTCTCCGCCCGAAAGCAGAGAGTTAGACTGTTAATTAGCCCGGAGCCAAGTTGTAAGAATGGTAAGTAAGACAGTGGCGTTTCGGTACAAGGGTTATTATAGCATATCTGGGTCAGTGATCGTGGTTAGATAAGTTTTTGTATAATATAGATTAAAACCAGCATTCTGTATTTTTGGCCTTGTGCCCTAGTTGTACTACATGTGCAATAAATATTATAATTTTAATTCTAAAATCTTTTAAAATCGGAAACGCCATGAAAACTGTAAATTGGTGTGCTTTTAATTTTTCCGTAATTTTTAAAAAACTTTACCTTTCTTTTAAAAGAGTTAAATTGTGCTTTTTAAATGTGGTTTTCAATTTCAAATTTGAAATTTAACTGATTTTGTAATATTTCTTGGATTTTTTATACAACGTCTTATTTCGTCAGTAAACATTTAAAGACTGGCCGTGAAAATTCAATTTCATTAAAGGTTGTCTTTTATATATCGTGTCCCTTTAGGACGTGGGCGATCAGTTTTCCACAGCTTCCTATCCTCTTGAACTCTCACCAATTCTTGTTTTTTTTTCTCATTATCCCTCTCAGTCACTCAGTTACACAAACACTTTAGGTAGGTTACTCTGTTTTCCTCTGCTACTCTTACCTTCAATACGCCCTGTGAGTGTGAAATTCTCCAGGTCCTCTTTCTTCATTATGTGTCCCAGAAACTGTAGCTGTCTCTTTATGACTATAAGTAAAAATATCGCTTTTATTCGGATTTTCCTTTAAAGTTTATCATTGCTCACATGTTGCATACATCCTTTTGGGGTACTACATCTCTGTTGGCTTGAGTCTCCTTTTCATCGCTAGGCAAATTGTCTATCATTTACTGCCATATTGGAGGATTGATATTACACTGCAATTTAGTAATATTCTATAATCATTTTTTACGTAATTCTGATTTGTCTTGAGGATTATAACTAGGGCCGGTACGTACCACCTCCAAACACCATTGATCAGACGGGGGAAAGCCTAATTATGGGTCTTCAAGCAGAGCTTTGTGATCCCCGCTATTTTATCAACATAGGCTTTTTTTTTTTTTTTTTACTTACGTTTATAAACAAACTGAGCACAACTGACTATTAAAAGGGTGAAAAGTTTTCGCGGAATTTGGCGTTATTCTGGGGCGGGGTCTTTCGTCTAAATCCGTTTTTTTTGTTCATGCTAAGTCGAAAAAAATACTATAAAGTTCACTATTTTTTTTTAAGCATAATGCTGAATGTATTTAAAAAATGAAGTTTTTAACGAGAAAAATTTCAAGTTGATGTAAAGAAATTGCCGCCAAACATTGTTTTAGTTAAGAGGGAATGCTCTATTATGACATGTCTCTACTTTTTATTTAGATACATTTTATTTGTTTTCAGTTGCTCACTTATATTGCCTATGATCCATTATTGCATATATATATATATATATATTTTAAGCGTTTCACCCCAAGCAAGGCAGGAAGCCACTAGGACGCAAGGGGTTACAGAACATTTGGATGTTACAATAACATTTGTATTTTATATGAATACTATCTTATGAAAATTGAGATTGAAGTGGGAGATCGTATAATAGATTCAATGGGAGCTCACAAGACCCTAGCACTGGTCCCGATTATAGCAAACATCCACTGACCGAGCATCCATTACTGCTTTCGTTTGAAGTTTATAAGATCTTTCTCTCAAAACACGTTTATAGGAAAACAGGTTTATCAAGTCCAGTAGCTGTTATCGCTCTTTCCTGTATTGATGGGGGTTTCATTTGTAACCTTTTATTTGAACTCGTGGGGGAATGTTGACATCTTGATTTTCATTATTTTCTCTTTCAGATACATGTGTTACCCATTTTAGTTGTTGCTGCTGTTGGTAGTCCTCAAATAATGTTGTCTCTGTTATTTGGTGTAATTCTTTGTTTGTGATTCTGTAGCGCCAGATCACAATGTTCAATGAAGGATGATCTTTGCCAAGACCCTCAGGCATTACTCGCTCAAAGCCTTTTTTTCACCATTAATTTTAGAAAGCATTTGTATGGAGCTGCCTGTTTAGATATTTCTGAACAGGCTTGACACTATGCATGATATCCATATAAAAGCCTCGATCTGAGGAGATGATTTAAGAACACGACTCGATTTTTCAGGTTGATCTTTTGGTTTAGTAGCAATTGGCAGTGTTTGGTGAAACTATCTCTGGCATAGCCTATTCTATGTTCATTTTTTTTTCTTCTGTACTTAAATTTAGTAAACGAGAAAATTTAATACGCTCTGTAGACTGTAGGATTATCCTATTGTCCAAATAATGTAGAATATGAAAAAAGTTAATCTCTTTTTTTCAACAAGAGAATTTTTTTACAATACGCTGACGCGTGCTGAAATTCTCACAGGATTTAATATTGTCGAAGTTATCGCTACCATTTTCTGTCGCGATTTAAAAACTCTTCGTTTCGTTGAATTTCGCGAACCAATCAACGAAATTGTTTAGAAAAATGCTTTGACCAAAACCCTACGTGCTTTAATAATTTCTTTAATTTGATTTAAATTTATAAGACTTCTTGGTAAACAATACATCTAAAGAATTTTTTTTTCCCTTTTTAACAGCGAAGAATAAAGATTTCTCACTCTTGAGCAGGCAACAAACAACTGGCCATACGTAAATATTTCTTTCCGGAGTCAAATTCCAACTTTTTGAAGCGTTTTACCTTATGATTTGTTTATAGTTCTCGCAAACGCAGGTCAAACTGGAAACTGGAGTCTTTTATATAAAATATTAAAAGATATTTCATTTTTCTTAAATACGTTTGTTTGTAATTGTTTTTTTTTTTTTTAATTAGTGGGGTATTTTGTATGTTAAATAATAAAAAAATGAAAACATTTTGTACTCGGTCACGTACCCTAGTAAAACCAACTGTACCCTCTTACCGGTTTGCATTTCTCTCCAAAATTTGGTTTCGATCGGTTATTATATTGCTAATTTAGCGGTTGGGACGGACGGACAGACGAACGGAAGTCACGTAATTTTATATATAGATTGAGCAAAAAAAATCTATTGCTGGATACTAATAACTGATAAAGATCGTCTAAGAGTAGGTCTTCGGAAGGCTACGTTTAGTGTAAATATAATAGATCCTGTCAAAAAAAAAAAAAAAAAAATACCGAAGATTCTGGTGTGAGTGCGATGTGTATGAATTTGATTAATGTGTTTTTATTGATTGAGTGATTGATTCGTTCTCTACGGCTTAACCTTTTGCAGGTTATTTAAAGCCATAGACCATTTTTAGACTGAGATAATATTTGTTGGCGATAATAATGGTTTAGTGATACGTCTTACTAATTAACCCATAAGTAGGGCGTGAAGAGATTGATTCGTACCTTTTTTTACTGGTATTTGTACTTAAGGGAATATAACGAACCTAACGGGAATTGAAACACGGCTCTGAACAATTCCGAGCCATTATCTGTTACACACCCAAGCTTGCAACACCTGTTATTCCCAAGCAGTCACCCATAGGAATCGAACAGTCTCGGCGTTGCTTAACTTCGGTAATCGAATGGGAATCGGTGTTTCAACGTGAAATGGACGTAAGCCTAATAGTTTTTTTTCTTTTTGTAGGAATGAATCCCAGTAGTATCTTTTAAACTGCTTACGAAGGTTTAGAGAAAATAGAAGCGAAAAGGACACTTAAACTTAACATCGGAAAGATGCAGTTGAAATTTTGATGAAACACGAGGAAAGAGGGCGTGGAAAATTTGACACTCATAGGACAGATTGAAAGCAAGAGGGACAGAGGAAAACATTGCATAAGTAACCTAGCAAACATAGACGGCAGAATATGGTTCAGAAGTGATAACAAAATAACAAAACATGACTAAGAAATAAAAAGGATAGGAAATTGTGGAGAGCCATAATCAAGTATTTTACTTGGACACTAAACTGATAAACCGTAAAAAAACAAAACAACAAAAAAAAAAAACAACAAATAAGTCGATCAACACTGAACAGTAAAGAGCTCTACTTTTGAGAAAATTAAAATATTATATTAGAGAAATCATGACGGTTTTAGATGACTTGTCAATTTTTATGAGTTCCGAGGTCTTTTTTTTTTGAGTTTTCGTTCGCTTCAAGAGGATTGTCAACGAATAGGTGATCGAATTAAAAGTCTGTAATGAATATATTAACATTTTAACGGATATGCTAATTGAATACGACAAGAGGTGAAATCAATTATTTGATTTTACTTTAGAATTTTTTTTTTATAACGGCAAGTGAAGTGATGGACGTTATTTCGAAACAGTCCACAATAATTACGGCTTTCTTTTCTTAAATTACCTGTAACAGAAGAATTCGAAGAAAAAAAAAAGTTAAGGACGTTCAAAAAAAATACACACACATGCGAAACAAAAATAATCTAAAATGGTGAATTATTATATTATGCAATCGAAATAAAGTGACGTGGTTAGGGAAAATGTTTAATTGATTTTGCACTTTTAAGAATAGTGCGCCTGTCTAATTTGCAATTAAAGAAATAAAAAAAATGAAAGGCTATGAACTAAAATACAGTGCCATACTTCCTGATGTTAATTGCTAAACAAGCTTACCTAAAAAAAAAAAAAGTGTTAAGGTGAGATCGATTCGCACTGAATGCCCAGCTGTTGTTCTTTTGTCAGATTAACCTCAACTTAAATATTAATACAAAACCTGCAAACGGCACTTTGTGAATTATGAATTGGTTTGGTTTGTTTTAACGTATATCAATATTTCCCAGGTTTTGGTGATATTCTAAGCTTAGGTTAGGTGTGGCACAACCCGAAATTATGGGTATCTAGTGAGGATCGTATTCACTATTCAGTCGTAATTGATTTCGCCGGTTAAGCTAGCTAACTAGCTATTACATCACGTTGAAGTGACCAATGAATGATTTTTCTAAGCGTAGCTTACATCTGGCACAAGGCCGAACGTATGGGCAACCCAGTGAGTATCGCATGTACTATTCTGTCGTAATTGATCCAGAGAGACACACTTGCTAACCATTACACCTCGTGGAAGTGCTCAGTGATTTACTAAGCGTAGCTTGGATGTGGCACAAGGTCTAAAGTATAGTGCATCCAGTGAAGATTGAACTCGCTACTCAGTCGTAACGGATCTAGCGAGACAAGCTTGATAACCATTACACCATGTCAAAGTGCCCTCCAATTCCCAGGTTATGTAATGGCGGATTCTATCGTTTCATAAATATTACATAAGTTTGAACGAGAGCCAAAAAATAGACAAGGGTCCTATTTCTAGGAGATTGATTCTCGTATAAATCGGACCTATGTCTATTTTTTGTTTGTTATTATGGTAGACAGTTATAATCAAAAGGGTAACATGCGTCTGGTTTTAACAGTAGGAAAAAGGCAGATATACACACCTGGTCAAAATCATAAGACCAGATACAAAAGGTTTAAAAAAATATAAAATACTCTTACTTTAACCAAAATATATTTGTGAAAAATTTACATTTAATTAGAAGATGTAGTTGATCAACAAACAAGTGACAATTTTAAGCTTTTAATTCATTAATTTAAACAAACATTGAAAAAAGGATTTTGTTTGTCATAAAAATAAGACCACGTAAATACAAATAGCAAATACAGAACAAATAAGTCATAACGACAATTTAATTCTCAGTATACCCTTTTGTATCTGACCTTAAGATTTTGACCAGGGGTGTATGTTTAGTTTGCACAAGAATCAAAAAGGTAAACATAGGTTCTGATGTAATGAACATGCATACACCTGGGTTCCCCCTCACAGTAATATGATTGGCTGGTGTCAGCCATAAATACAGACTGATTGAGAACACCGATTGCCTACCACTACGACGAGGACCGGTCCATTACGGTTACATGCTAGATTGGGCACCTCGGCGTGGTGTAATGGTTAGCAAGCTTGTCTCGCTAAATCAGTTACAACTGAAAAGTGAGTTCGATCCTCACTAGATGCCCCATACTTTCGGCCTTGTGCCACATCTAAGCTATGCTTGGAAAATAACTATATATCTAGCGTATTAGATATATAGAATATGCGTTGCTATGGGTTTAGTCAATAGAAATCCATTAAAAATGAGTTTAATTGGAAATATATTATAATATTTAATTCGAGATATACATTTTAACAATGTTTACATACTTATGTATACTTGCTGAATGTTACACCATTTACACGGGATCGATTAAATTTGAACGTGGAAATTTTATATTGAAAAGTAACTGAAAAAGTATAATTTTTACAAGTCCACCGTACATAAAATAGGCAGTTACTGTTCACTCACCCTATACCCGTATATAATCCTCATAAATGTTACATATTTACAACCCAAATTACGTTTATTGCAAAACAACCAAAAGCATATTTTTGTGTAAACTTTGGAAGGTCCGAGTAATCACTGACAGTCTGTAGATTCAATCTGTAATTTCAGAGTCTGCTCATTTCTCGTCCTACTAAGAGCAACGTGTCATCAGATATTTTCTTTTCTTCATTTATTCTCTTTTGTCTCTCGCCTCCTCTTTTTTTTTAATTATAATTTTGAAAGTAATAAAAAAACAAAAAAATCAATCACCCTGTATAGACACTATAGGATAGAGCGATCTGAGCAACTCCTGGAGAAGTCAGTCCGACGAAGCCCAAATCTCACAGGCAGGTTTGAATTTAGAGATTTCCTTCTCCTAGACTGTTGCTATCCAAGGCTATAGGACCCAGCCTGTCCTACTATTTTACCCATGGTGGGGGGGGGAGAGAAGAGGTGGATTCATACCTTTCCAAAGGGTAATTGGCGACTAAGTCATATGTAATGAACTCTATTGAAATTTAAACTCGGCTCTCCGATTCCTCAAACTGAGCCGTTAAATATTACTCCATCGTGTCCCCTACTGTATATATAGGGATCTTTTTTTATTTGAAAAATAAATTAAACCCATTTTTAATAGAAATACATAGCAACTGATTAGTGGATACTTCAACGTGGCGTATTGATTAGCTAGCTTATCTCGCGAGATCAATTAGGACTAAATAGTGATTTCGGTCTTCACTGGGTGACCCATACTTTCGCGTTGGACCACATATATGTTCTGCTTAAAAAATTGCATTTTGGGAACCTCGTCGTGGTGTAATGGTTAGCAAGCTTGTCTCACTAGAACAATTACTACTGAATAGTGAGTTCGATTCTCATTGTGCCCCATACTTTAGGCCTTGGACCACATCTAAGTTCTGCTTAGAAAATTACGTTTTAGGAACCTCGTCGTGGTGTAATGGTTAGCAAGCTTGTCTCACTAGAACAATTACTACTGTGATGTAATGAATATGCATACACCTGTGTTCCTCCTCACAGGGATATAATTGGCTGGTGTCAGCCATAAATACAGGCTTATGTAGAGGTACAGGATGACGCCCATTGGACTACGCTATCCTATTGGTCTACACCTATTGCCTACACCTATTGACTGCGACTCCGACGAGTACCAGTACCATTACTGCCACCTGCTAGATTGTTCTACTTAGTTACAGTAGCCTAAACCACTTAGCTACTTCTATCAAATATATCACTTTCCGGGACATCTCATCCTGAATAATGAGTTCGATCCTCACTGTGTGCCCCTTACTTTCGGCCTTGTGCCACATCTAAGCTACGATCGGAAAATCATTTGGTCACCAAGACGTAGTGTAATGCTTAGGAAGCTAATTTCACTAGGTCATTTCCGAATGAATAGTGTTCGATCCTCACTGGGTGCCCCATACTTTCAGCCTTGAGCCACATTCCACTTAGAGCCAATTCCGCTTAGAAAATCACCGTAACAATTGATTTCCTATAGAGATACATTGAAAATACTTTTACTCAACCTTTTAATGCAAATTATTTACTATTAGTAATCTTATTTTTATTATAGCTACGAACCAGAAATAATTCTATCATTTTGAACCTATGGTGAAATAGTTTACCAGAGAAAGTAGTTAATACTGTACGTTATTTAACATTTGGATTCCTATCAAAATTTAAAAGATGTTTCGGCACTGCTCAGACTAAGACTAAAAGCAGTCTCAACAAGTAACAGAAGACGGAAAGTGTGACATCGAAATTCGAAAGCGCATTGAGGTAGCGATATTTCAAAGCATCTGTGGGTCTCCTATTGTAATGAAGGGACATGGCATGCTTTTCAAAATTTTAAAATGTAAACATTTAAATAATTAAAGGTTTTCACTTTCGTCACAGCCATTTCACTCGTTCGTTTATACATTACCAGAGATAAATAAGGTAAGCGTAAACAGTCTGGTTGATTTTGTTTAGCGGCATATCAAACTGTTAGTTATTCAATGACTAAATCTAAATAACTAGTACGTTAAATTTTTTTTTTATAAATAATAATGATTTTAGTGATAAAAGTTTTACTAATTAACCCATAGTTGGGGGCAGTTTGTGTGCAAGTGAATATAATGAACCCAATTGTAACTCAGCTCTCCGATTAACAATTATCCATTACAGCACCCGCACATCCAAGCTTACAGCACATGTGATTCCAAAGTCGGTATAAACAGACGTAACAAAACTAGACCAATTATGCTACTTACCAACCCTCTTACGAATGCAACTGAATTTATTTAAACCTTATATAAAATTTGTTACAGCTACTTCTAAAATAATAAAAAAATTTAACACAAAACAAAATAGCAACCGAAAACGTAAACATGAATTTACTTTATAGCAACTTATGAATGCCACAAAGAATATATAGGCGTGACTATTTAAATAAAAGATACACATCTTTTACAAAACAACACAGTTGATAAATTAGTCACTCACTGTTATGTAGTGGTTTCACAGTGGAGGCTTGCATTTGTACTAAGTCGGTCCTAAAATAGGTTCGATGTACAAAACGTTAGGAACTTGATATAATAGGTAATGACGCAGTAATCTAGTTGTGGTGACTGATACTTTAATATCCGACTAACGGTCGTCCGACATCGACCGACTGACCAACCCTCCCAGCCACTGCTACTACTACTCCTACTTATTATAGATGGGGGAGTCTATTAACTATAGAATAGGTGTGTTCCAGTATAACACTCACTTTAATGAGTTTGACTTTAACTGCGATTAAAAAATGCTGATTTAATTTAATGAAAAAACATTTGACCGAGGCGAAAATATATAGGAAGTGCACTGATTGTTAATCATGCAGTGTAAATTTACATCCAGGTTCTTACAGCATTTCCCCTTTCTTAGCAAATCTTCTATTGTCCCTATATGGGATATTTAAAAACAACAGCGATAGAAACAGAAAGCTTTGCGAAATAAAATGAGACCGGTTAGGCTGTACGTCTAGACACGTCAGGCATCAAAAATCTTAAAATAAAAATTTTTAGAAGTTAAATTTTAAAAGTTCAGCATTTAAAATTCAGCGTTCCCTCGTCTTTAGTGCTTCCCCCTCGGTGCGCGGTTGTGCCTGAGGTTTCCGTTTTATCTCCCCAAACCCTCGCCTGTTACCAATATATAATTCCTTCAATGAGAATACTTCAGACCGATGAAGTCCGTTTAGAGAACAAAATGCGTTACACAGAATTTATTCAATTTGCCATTCAATTACCTAATTTTTTTTTTTTGATATATAAAAATTTATGTTTGGAATTCTCCCGACTAGGATGGTGCATCATTCGCAGATGACGCTACCTGGAGTGTTCTTGACCAGCGGGCGGTATCTTCAGATTCATAACGCGCCATCCACACAATCGTACAAAAAGCACCACCAAGAACACAACATTCTTAATGCTTATTCTACAAGGCAGCCAGCGTGAATAAATTATAGAACTCATGTGGAAAATATTGGCTATATTTTTTTTTTAAATTATTTCACCTCAATCAAGGTGATAATGCGACTAAGACGTAAAGGGTTACTGGGAGTGAATGAGAGTGCTAAAAATTTAGTGAGGATAAATGACAATAAACGAAAAAGGTTTAGGAAGATAAAAAATGTCGATTGACATTTCATTTAAATTTATAAGGATTGTAGTTAACAGGAAATAACAAGCCAGAAGAGAGTGTCAGAGATGAGAATTGCGAGCAAAGAAATTATTAGAGTCGAACGTACGGTTACATTTTGCTATTTCAGCAGTAAAACGATTAGACATATTAGCCATTCTCGTAGTATGCTTAAATATGCGCGGTCGAGGTATCAAGTATGAGAGCTCATTAGAACAAGTGTCATGAAAATATAGAAAAGACAAAGGGGAAACCACGTCACGGAGGTGGGGGAATTGACTGAAGCCGAGATGCCAGGTCAGGACCGATAAAATTACAGACCCTTTCGATTTTGTCGACAATCTCGAAATATATAGCCCGAGCACCAGACTAGATATGGTAGCAATATTCAATGCACGGGCGAATGGTAGATTAATAAATGTGCAAGATGGATTCTGACGAGAAAAAAATGTCTAGATTCTTGACAGCCGATCTAGCAATCGATTCATTACAATCCCTCCATTTCATGTCAGTCGAAAATGTGAGACTAACAAGGCACAAAGGGTTGCTCATCTGGAGGTTAGCATCAGCCATGCTGATGGCAGGCGGAAACTTTTCTCTATGGTGATTAAATTAAAGCAGTTTTGTTTTGGAGGCGTTAAACCTTACAAGCCATTGCTTGTAAGACTTAAACACTGACTAGAGGTCCTTTATGAGAGCAGTTGCAAGTTTTACTTTGTCAAACCTGTTTGACTTTCTACTAAGCCAGGAGTAAATTGCTGTGTCATCTGCATAAATTCCTCATTGGGAAATGATGACATTTGGAAAGATCAGTGATGACGATAAGAAAAAACGTTGGTCCAAGGATAAAGCCCTTGGGGTTACCCGCATTAATGTAAAAAAAAAAAAAAAAATAGAAGCGTGTTTGTTCAATATGACCATTACAAGAGTTGTTAGGAACGATTTATATAATCACTCCACTTCATGTCAGTAGAAAATGTTATTTCAAGTAAATTCTACTTGCGACTCATTTCTTGAGAAGAGCTGTTGTCGGGAGATAGTGGTGGTATTATATCCTGTAACATTTCCTCATCAACGATATTACCGGATTAACGAGTAGATGAGAAGAGAGATGAGATTTAAAAGTGAGCTTGTGTAGCCGTTAGAGATCTTTTTTTTGTGTGTGTGTGTGTGTGGTAATCAGTTTCTTCAATCATTTGGTTTGATAACGAAGGAAGAAAGAAATGGATGTCTCGAATTAAGCGGGCCGACTGCGTAGCTACCTCTTGTCCGCGACTGGCATCTTTTCGAGGAAGCGCTTCTAATGATATTAAACAAGCAGAACCTGACCTTTGAAAGAAGAGGAGAGAAGAAAAAAAAAAGAGCACACTGGAGAAGGGGTTATAGAGGTGGAAGTGAGGCGGAAAAACAAAACAATCACAGATGTAATCTTGTGGTGGCATGGGTGGGGGCGGGGAGAGGAGAGGGGGGTGTGTGATGAAGTAACGGGTCCTTTTAATTAAGTCTGGTAATATCAGATAAAGATATATTTTTAACGAACGAATAGCATTATTAAAATCAACAATTAATTAATAAAACTAGGAAATAAAAAAAGATGAATCTTCAAATAAGGAACACATTTTAAAAATCGCCTAAATGGAAATAAAATATGATTTAAAAAGTACTTCTTGCAGGTATATATATTTACAAGCTTATGTGATTAGGTATATATATATATATATATATATATATATATATATATATATATATATATATATATATATATATATATGAATACATAAGTATATATGTATTATTATATATGTATATATATATAAATATATGCGCATATGTGTATATATGTATATATATGTATATATGTATATATATGTGAGTATATATATATAGGTGTGTATATATCGCCAACCATCATGTTCTTGTTTCAAGTTCGGAAGATCATTAGGGTGGCATTCTATGTCATAACATATTTGGTCAATATATGTTATTGCTGGGGCGATCCGCCGATCTTGCCACATGGATTACTGTACAGAGCATCATATCACTTCCAATTTCTTATTTTGCTCGCCAGTAATTTTCCCGCAAACGCATTCTGCCGTTAGGATACTATTGTAGAAATATCAGCGATCAGTCCATAAAGCTGTGATTTAGTTGGATGTCGTTTCCAGATATGAATATAGCTCTCAGCATTCGGCTGTATGTTCCATCAAGCTTAGACTCTTAGTTTTCTTTAACGTCTAAACAGTGGCACCATGCATTAAAACCGCCTCTGCAGAGTTTGTCTGGTAGATCAGGTTTCAGATTATATCCATTTTAATCAAGGCGGCTTAGGCTTTATCTATGCGAATTTTCACATCCTTTTCAGTAGAATTTATTTCCTTTCCTAGGTATGTAAAAGTTTCCCCAGATTTTATTGATTCATTTTTTAATGACCCTTGTTGGTTGAACCTTATGAATTCTATTTTAGATTTCCCGCTTAACGTTACTAAAAAAAACAAAAAAAAAAAAAACAAAAAACACGTCGCTCGGAGACGCTCCTTAAACCTATGATTAGGAAATGACATTCTCAGTCATTTTCTCTGTTCTTTCACAACTCCGGCTATAAGATCTAGTGGCAGGTGAGAAAAAAGAAAAGTGTTCCCCTACTGGGAGACGTTCACTTAATTTCAATATAGCAATTTTATCGCGGATATTTTTTGTTCCCAAACATACACGTGTCTATCACGTTGGCTTACACACATCCCACAAACACACATTCTCTAATTTAGATGTTTTCTCTGTCTTTAAATGTTTTCTTTTTTTATTTCATTGCATACTTTTGTTAATACATGCGTTGTCCTTTGTTTTATATACTATTTTGTGTTATTCATTTATAAGTCGGACTCACATTCAAGTCCGCAATAATTATTACGGTGCTTCTACATATACATAGCAAGCATTCCTACATCAAGGCATTGACATAGTTCAAATATCTCTCTCTCCTTATATATATATATATATATATATAGTCGACTCTCCCGTCGAATTCGACGTATGAGGGTCAAGCAAATCAGTTCCTAGGAAACTGACAGCCCGACACCAACACATGACATTTGATTATAGTGGTGAAGGTTTCGTGCAGGACCATCCACACTTTTTGAAGGGCCGAATACAGAGATTTTTTTCCAAGATTAGTTGCCATCCAGGGCTATAGAACCCAATCTGTCCTGCTATTTACCCATAGCTTGAGGGAGAAGAAGAGGATTCACCTTTTTCCCTAAGGGTATTAGCACGTAAGTGAATGTAATGGATTCGACTGGAATTCGAACTCAGCTCTGCGATTCCTCAATCCAAGCGGCTATCCATTACTCCACCGTGCCTGCCCCCCCCTCTCTCGATATATATATATATATATATATATATATATATATATATATATATATATATATATATATATATATATATATATATATATATATATATATATATATATATATATATATATATATATATATATATATATATATATATATATATATATATATATATATATATATATATATATATATATATATATATATATATATATATATATATATTCTAGTATGTGTGGGTGGATATTTATTAGTTTAGTTTAGTTTAATTAATTTTTTTTTGTTTTACGGCATATCAACTTCAGTGGGTTACTTAATACCGGCAAAATTTTTATTGCTGGTAATATTTTTTCCCTTCAAAAATCTATTTCTGGTAATGTTTTGCTGTTAATAATGTATTGTTGTTAATTTCTTTTTCAAAAAATTATTGCCGGTAATATTTTTTTACTAAGTATTTCTGGTATTAAAACCTATTTTTATACTTATTCATAGTGTCTTGACCCGAGTTTGTCGGTTAACTATTTGCCCATAGCTGGGACCTTAACAGGTACTACCACCCCGGGTCAGGGAGGATCTAGGAACACTAGCAATGGAGTGGTGGTTCCATACTTCTCAAAACCTCCTGATTAGAGGACTTGCTGCTGGACGTAGTTTATCGTCATACGGGGATGTTTATTGATGTGTATGTATGTGTCGATGCCGAGCTTAACAATTCAACTGTTTTACAATGTGTATATGAGCGTGTGAGTGTGTGTATGTATACTCGTGCGTCCATGCCCGTGTCTATATGTATCTATGTATGGTGAAGGCAACCATAGTTGTCTCCCCTTCGAACTATTCGACTATAAAAGAAATAGTTGAACCTTACTTATGGGCAGTAGTGAATCTGTATTGAATCAAGCTTCATTACAAACTTAAAATTCAACTGTTTTTTCTTTACAGGGTGTAGACACGTGTGTGCGTGTGCGCGCTTAAAGCAATACCTTACTACTTAAATAATGTTAGATGAAATATGCCATGACAACCTGGTCAAAACTTAGTTGGCTGACCATTCCGGAGCAACAAGCAAATAATGTATAAAGATTGCCCTATTTACTCTTACTTCGGCCAATGGCCAAATGAGGTAAAATCAATGGTAAGAAGTTAGTGTTGCCTGGAAAGGGGAGCATCAATTTCTCTTGTACGATATTTATTGATGAACATCCTCAGATTTGGCACAAGGCCTTAAGATGGGTAATGGGTAGAGCTGGTATTTTCTGTCCTATCTTTCAGCCAAGCTAACAGCACTCATTAATCTAATTTTATTTAATGAAACTTCCTTTCCCCTCCCCCTTTATACTACGGACACCGTTATGTCACAAATTCTTTGTAATGTCCTAATTAGTACCATATATACATTTTTATGGGGTAATAATAATAATAATAATAATAAACAAAAACGATGCCTCCTTATTGATATGGCAGTCCCTGCTCACTGCAATGTATCTTTGAAGATATTCAAAAAGCTGTCAAAATACAAGGACCTTGAAATAGAAATCTCCAAAATGTGGCATATGGTAACATCAACGATCCCTGTTGTAGTTGGAGGCCTAGAACTGGTTGGAAAAGATTGCAGTAGACTAATTGAAGGGATTCCTGGAAGTCCATGCCTCAAGGAGATACAAAAAATTGTTCTGACAAGTACAGCCCACACTTTACGAAGGGCTTTATCTATGTAATTTTCTTTTTTTTTTGTCAGTGGAAAGTGTCATGATGCCATTTCTAACCTTAGGTCCCTGGGCGGGACCCTGAAAGAAATGTGTAAACGCCAGAAATCAAAGAAAATAAAAATAATAATAATAATAAGGACCTTGAAATCGAAATCTTAAAAATGTGACACATGGGAATATCAACAATCCCCGTTGTAGTTGGAGCAATCGGATTGATTGGAAAAGATTCCAGTGGATCTAATTAAAGGGATTCCTGGAAGCCCATGCCTTAAAGAAATACAAAAAATTGTCCTCAAGAGTGCAGCCGACACCTTACGAAGGGCTTTGACTATGTATTTTATTTTCCACTGGAAAATGTCATGATGCCATTTCTAACCTTAGGTCCCTGGGCGGGATCCGGAAAGAAATGAGTACACATCAGAAATCAAAGGAAATAAAATAATAATAATACAACACTAAGAGAGGAGCGGGATTTCAGAAAAAGAAGACGCTATGTTTCAAAATGTTTAATAATATTTCTTTTTTCTTTAAGTTATGTTTAAAAATTGCATACAAGTATAAAAAATATGAAAAAATACAAAAAAAAAAAAAAAAAAAAATTGCAGTCTTTGTCCAAACGTCGCTTCGTCCTGGGCATGACGAGAAATTATATCTGGCAGCAAGCCCTCTGATCGGGAGTGATTGAGGATCGTGAAACCAGCGCTTAATTGCTGTTGTTTCCACGTTCATCTTGACCCGGGGTGGGAGCACCTGTTAGGGAGGGCCTAGTTATGGGCAAATAGTTAAACCCTAAACTAGGTTCAAAACGCTATGAAAGTATAAAATAAATTTTATAGTAAAAATACCAGCAATACATTTTTGACAAAAAAAATATTACCAGCAATACATTTGACTATCGGTAAAAACCCTCTTTACGAAACTACGTCAATGAAACATGATCTACAACCTGTTTTCTTACAAAGAATACATATTCTGCTCGAACCTATTCTATAGACCTAGTCCGCATTAAATAACCCATTGAGTTTGAAATGCCGTAAAACAAAATAAACCAAAGCAAACGTCACTTGTCTTGAGAAAAACAGCCGTTTTGGTAATCAATGCGACAAAGCAAATGAAACGCTAGCAGCCTGGATGGAATGCAACTCAAACGTGAGTAACATGATAGGATCGTGCTTAACTTGAAAGGTTTCGCCAGTTGATTAACTGGGGAAAGCTACTAATCAGATTCCCTTGAAGTGATTTCCAAAAGACTTTGGAACATATTGACACGAAAGAAATCCACGATCGTACGAAAAATGGCTACTACGAATACCGCAAGTCTGCTGAGTGTGCCTGGTGAGAGGAATCGTCATCAGAATGGTTTGTCTGAAACAAAGTTTATTAGAAAATAAAATTATTTGTTGAAAAGTAAAATAAAACTGTAACAAAAGTGCTTAAAATCAGAACGAGACATTTAACATTTCGAGAGTCCATAATGGGGAAAGAGTATATAGAGAATTTGACACTCACAGTCCATATGGAAGGCAAGAGGGATCGAAAAAATAAACACCGAATAAACTATCTAACGAGCTTGTGTAAATGGTTGACCATTGTGAGAATTCGGCCCGAGTCAGTAGTTCACTTGTGAACAGACTGCTCGGTTTGAACTCTCTTCTTACGGGCGGGAGGAACCCGAAGGAGGCTACGCCGAAGGGCGGAGTCTCTTTCGGGGAGGTAAAACCGGCCCTGAACCCGTTTATACGGGTTCAAATGGGCTATTTTTTGGCCGAGCCTAATGGCTCGGGAATGCCCACGTTAAAAAGGCCTTGTGCCACATGACACCCTCGTGGGGGGGGGGACTCAATATCGTAAATGGTTGACCGGGAGAGGGATAGCAAAAAGGCAAACCTTATTCAGAGCTACATAGGACAAGATGTTGAGGAGAGTAATAATCTCACACGTCATGAAAGGACACGGCACATTGAACAACAAAACATTTCTTTTCCTGCTGTTATGTCAGAAATGTAGGGTTCAAAACTTCCAGAATTACTTAGATGGGCGGCTATTTAAGAACACTACTCGTCAGTAGGATACTATAGAAGCTGTCGAAGCATGACGAAAACGAGCAAGCGCTTATCGAAGACCACTCTCCGATATCTATCTTCGAGGTCTTAACAGTGAATGGCTGTTATTCACTGTCAGTATCGACAGGGATCTGTTATTGACCGGCAAAGTTGAAGAAACTGATATGTGGCAGTCAACCAATCAGATTAATAAATGATGTCCAAAGTGATCCTTCTCCATTTTGATTGGTTTAGGTTTGTCTTTTTATCTTGAAACGTCTCTAAGGTGATTCACTCCATCGTCTGTTTATATTTATCACTGTCTTTCTTTCCTTCTTTTTTTATCTTTCTCTCTTGTGTGTTCTTCACTTTCTTTCTCGACTATTCTTCGCCTTATTTTTTATCCACTGCATTTCGTGCTTAACTTTTTCTCTCTTTTATAATTGGCTTCCCTCCATATAATGTTTTTATTGTTTTTTTTTTGTTCTTTTTTGGTTTCGCCTTTTTGTTTGTTTTTTTGTTTGTTTCTTTCTCTTGCAACCGTCTTTCTTTCTTACGAAACTGTCTTTCTTACGCAACTGTCTTTTTTCTTTCTTTCGCAACTGTTTTTCTGTCTTTTTCCTTTCTTTCTTTCTTTCGCAACCGTTTTCTTTCTTTCTTTCTTTCTTTCGCAACTGCCTTTATAAGTATATAATGCCATTTTTTTTTCTTTCTTTCCTTCCGTCTTTCTTTCTTTCTTTCGCAATTGTCCTTTTTTCCTTTCTTTCTTTCGCAACCGTCTTTCTTTCTTTCTTACTTTCTTGTTTTCGCAACTGTCCTTTTTTCTTACTTTCTTTTGCAACTATCTTTCTGTCTTTTTCCTTTCGTTCTTTCGCAACCATCTGTCTTTCTTTCGCAACCGTCTTTCATTCTTTCTTTCTTTCTTTCGCAACTGTCTTTATAAGTATATAATGCCATTTCTTTTTCTTTCTTTCTTAATTTCTTTCTTTCTTTCTTTCTTGTTTTTTTCGCCTTCTTTATCTATCTTCTTTTATTTTTAACAAGCTGTTTTTTCACCGTATATCACTTCTTTATTGTTTTTTTTTCACTATTTTCTCTCTTCATTTCTTTTGCGGCTGTCATTTTCTCTGTTATGTTAGATTCTCTCTTTACTACACCAAACGTTATTATAATGGATACTCCTATCTAAAATAGACGCCAAATTTTTATTTTTTCTTTAAACAGTGTGTCCGACGTTTATCTGTCGACGTATTCGAAAAAAATGTGCTTTCTGGCAGGAATCGAACCTGCGCCCCGCCCTTTGCAAGAGAAACCGTCGTTTGATTCGGTGTCAGCATATTTCGCGAATACGCAAACCGATAGACATAGTACATGTTTAAAGTAATAACAAAAATGGGGCGTCTGTTTCAAATACGAATTTCAATTATAATAACGTTTATAATAGGTTGGTCTATTAATTTTCTCTTTCTTTCTCTGAGGATAGGTTGATTGATTTTATGACATTTCAACTCTAGTCGGTTTATTTAATGTTGAATTTTCTATGAAGTCCCCAATGAGAATCGAACTCACTACTCGGTAGCAATGGTCAACCTGACTAGCCTCGTTAGTCCACGCTAATCCACGCCGAAACACCTCTCTTTCTTTCAAGGAAAGAAAAGACATATCAGATAAAGATTGATTGATTTCTCTCCGTTCCATTTGGTGGTGCCTAAGATGAAGCCGTCAGCAACTACTTAATCATACACGGCAATCAGTGAAATCCTTCCTCCCTGGACGGCCTACTGTCATGGCTTTTTCCAGAGTAAGCTAAACAGGCTCCCCGCTGTGGTGTAATGTTCATCGATGCTAGATTGGTTAGACATGAGTTCGATCCTCACTGTCACATGCAAAAGATTAAACGAGATTAAATAACCCCAAAATGGTCGACACGTAAAATTAACCAAATCTAACACAAAACTAAATTAATTCCAATAAATATTCAGCCCAATGATGAAGAAAAGAGAGCACTTATTGAATACAGCGCTAATTTACTTTTCAACATAATCTCATTCGTTGTCTATGTACAGAAGTGGTTATGACAGTAAAGTGATACAATTAAATTTGACTCTTCATTACTTAACCGTTTGCCTGTCTTGCGCATGTGATTTCCACGTCCGTACGTCATATGTGGGGCCCGCGTGCCATGATTTTAAAAAGAGTTGTAAAACTAAAGACGCTTAAGAAAAGAGTCTACGCCTGAGAAAAGGCATAATCTAATAATTAGTTTCATCATATATAACCACAGGACGCTTGACTGATAATATAAGGTCTCAAATGAAAGACATCAATTTTTCCACTTTATTGAAATGATTATAACCTTTCGCTTGGAAAAAGAAATGTTTTAACCCCCAAATTCATTTTTACTTTCATCAGGGTATGAGATATCATCAGGACTTAGATTACTATCATCAATCTTTTCTCGAGTACTTTTTTACGATAAGAATGTTTGGAATTCATTTTCGGGGTTCTTTTATATCTCTATTACGTTCTGAAAATATATAGATCGAGTAGTAATAAAAATAAAATATTTTTCTGCACACTATTGCCTTTTTACTGCAAGGCAACTCAGCTTATTTAGTAAATAGAATTTGCTGGCATATAGTGATTCACATAATAAAAACCTATGCATCACATTTGATGCACAGGGTGGAGTGTAAATAACTTATGACTTGTACGTTCTCTGCTTCACATGTAATTCACAGGTTTTTATTATGCGAAACGCTATATATCAGCGTATTCTATTTGCCAAATAATCCGAGTCGCCTTGCAATATTTATAAATCTGAAATAAACGTTTGGATAGTACACACGGAAATGCCCTGGACAGGCAAAGGGTTAATACTGAATTTTATTCGACTTTGGACTTTGTCAGTTACACACATCCAGTATGAGTGACAAGCGGCCTTCAAAGCTCTGGTCTGATATGTGGACCCTACATTCTGTCTGCGATGTGTGAAAGACTACCAGTGACTGCACTAGAGCGGTTGTTTATATATAACAGCGTGTATTACAAAAGCATTCCCAAACTTGCAAGCCAGGTGCAAGTGTTAGGTCATATGTTTCTCCAATCAACAACCATGATGGATCCCAGATCTACCACCTGGTGGCTTTGATGACCTGGGGTGAATTGTGTACAATACTTATTATGATAGGGAATATTAATCACTTAGATCAGTCATTATACAGTGAAGATTTCAGATCAGAATTTAGCTCCTAATTATGTGTCTGGTGACTAACTGATATACACTCTTGTTATATAGGGATAAAGTGTCGCTGCCGACACTTGAGTTTGAATATAGGTCGCCAGTAAGCAAACACATGCGATCCCATTATTGAGTTAAGTAAACCACGTGACCATAGAGGAAAGGCATATATGTAGGAAGTATCTGACGACTAACGAACTCTATTTCTAGTCTATCCTCTATTACTATTCGGACTGCTATTCTCTTCCCTATACTATTTGGATCACTATACGGATTACTATTTAAGTGAGTATTATTGAGCAAGTACTATTAGTGCGATTGCTATTCAAAGGGGTCTGACACCAGCTTTGTTCAACGGTGTACTATAGTTGGATCTGCAATTACAAAGTCTCTACTAAAACGAGCATTACGAAAGTGACAATGAATATTCGTTGGCATCAGAAAGGCGGCAACGTGTGTTCGTTGACATCACAAAAACTCTTATCTATATTAGGATCCACCTCTAAATACAAGAGATCCACATTCATAACCAGTTTCTCAAAGTTTATATCCATTCAAAAGATCCAACCTCATATCAAAATGCTCCACCATTAGATGGATTCACAGATCCATCCACATAATTCAATTACTCCACCTTCATATCCATTCTAGGATCTACCCTCATATTCAATTGTTCCACCCTAATATCTATTATAGCATTATTCTTCATACCCAATTCCTCCAACCTCATGTACTTTCTTGGATCAACCTTCATATTCAGTTCTTCTGACCTTATATCTATTCTAAGGTCAACCCTCATATCGAATTGATTATAGGTTTCCCCTCATATCCCTAATAGGATCTAACCTATTTTGTTACCCATGTCCATTCTAGGTGTTGTTCATGATGACGGTCGTCTTTGAGTATAGAATCCAGAGGTTAGCAGTGAATATTTCGAAGACAGTAGGGAAGCGTTGTTCAGGTTAGCAGTGGATATTTTGGTTAAAGTAGCAGAGCGCAGTTCGTCCTTCTGTTTCTCTTCGCCTGACAAGCTGGCACTGGACATTCGGGTAGAGTAAACAAAATGGCCGCCTTTATACACGACAGATTGAATATTCTACGTCTTCTGATTGGTTAACCTTCTATTGGTGGACTATAAAGTGAGTCAAGTCATTTGGGCTAGCTCACTAGTACATATATATATATATATATATACAAAAAAAAACTGCAACACTAGGATCCACCCTCATATTCATATGAGGATCCAACCTATTGCTCCATCCATATCCATTTTAGGATCTATCCTCATGTCAAACTGACCTATCCATTCTAGGATCCAACTTTATATCCAACTATTCCCCGCACATATGCATTATAAGATCCACCCTCGTATAAATAAAAAGATCCAACCTATTTCTCTTCTCATATCAATTCTAGGATCCATCCTGATATCCAATTGCTCTCCTTATATACATTCTAAGATCCACCCTCATATCCAATTGATACCCCCACATATCCATGCTAGGATCCACCCTCATTTATACTAGGATCTATCCTATTGCTTCATTTATATCCATTCTAGAATCCACCCTCACATCCAATTGCTTCCTGCATATATCTATTCTATGCCCCCCCCCCATATCCAACATATTGCTTTGCTCATATCCATTTTAGAATCTACCCTCATGTACAAGTGATGTACCCTTATATTCATTCTAGAATCCACTTTAATATCAAATTGTTCCCGCACATATACGTTACAGTATCCACCCTCGTATAAGTAAAAAGATCCAGACTATTTCCCCCATATCCATTTTAGGATCCACCCTTATAACCACTTGCTCTACTCTTACATCTATTCTAGTTTCCACCCTTATATCCAATTGATGCACCTCCATATCAATCCTTGGGTCACTTCGATGTCGTGCAATGTTTAGCAAGCTGGTCTCACTAGAACAATTACAACTGAGTAGTGAGTTTGATCCTGAGTGCTCCATATCTTTGGCCTTGTGCCACATCTAAGCTACACTTAGAAAATTACCGTATCAATTGCTGGATCTACCCTTATAGACAAATGATATATTCTTATATCCAGTTGTTCCACACTCATATCCATTCTAGGATCATCTACCAAACAGTAATATTTAATCAGCAAGTTTCGCAACCTATTGTGAACGGCACGGATATCTACAGGGTACTCTATTTCATGATACCTTTTGCCAGACTAGGACGGATAATGACTTTTTCTATGTTTTACTTTCATTTCCAAATTTTATTATTAATATAATTTCATCAGTTCACCTCAGACTTGACAAAGTTAACCTTGCTAGTGCATATATCGAACTGCCATTTCTAGTTAAAGAGTCAGACCTCGCCTTATTATTCATGTTAGGCAAACTATTGGCCATGAATCTAATTTTTGATCATCCTGTCTTCTATCACCATACCATTGGGCTTTGCTGTAACCTCTGGATGGACACATGAAACAAAAGTACAATAAAACCGAATAAAGTGTATCGATAAGGGATCACAAAAGGATAATTCTTTTACGTGGGTAGGATCAGGTGAACTGAATTAATCAATCATTGGTATTGATTAGTAACACACAATGTATGCTTGTAAAGTTGATAGAACAGACTACGGCAAGGTTAGAGGGAAAGGAAAAATCGATAATCTGTACAGGTGGTTGGCAATGAATGGTTTTCATCTTGTACGGCCTGTGGCAGACATTTTTGATCCCATGTCGACTTGACTCATTTCCATTTACGTTGAATCCTTTGTCCCATGATCCCCTTTCAAACTCTACTTCCGTGGCACGTTCTAGCATCTTTTTTTCTGCTTTCTATTTTCCTTCTCTTTGATTTTTGCTAAATTAGGTTTCTTTCTTTTAAATGAATCACTTTTCTTTTTTCTTTCTTTTATTCTTCTTTCTTTTTATTTGATTTTTTTTTCTTAAATAAGGATTCCTTCTTTTTCTGTCACTAATTTTTTTTCTTTTTCTTTCTTTTTAGATTATTACTTTCTTATTTTCATTCTTTATTTCTTTCTTCCTTTCTTTCATTTTTTATTTCTTTCTCCCTTTCTTTCATTCATTATTTCTTTCTCCCTTTCTTTCTTCCTTCCTTCCTTCCTTTCTTTATTCTTTCGTTAGTCCTTTCTTTCTTAATTTCTTCCTCTTTTGAGGATGAATCTTGCTTTTATGTGTGTGTGGTTTTACTAGTATTTTATTCTTTATTTGATTGTTTTTCTTTAGGATGTATTTCATTATATGAATCATATTTCTTTCTTTCTTTGTCTTTCTTCCTACCTTTCTTTCTTTCTTTTGAAACCTAGGAAAGGTTACTGTCTGAGGAATAACCAAAACGGAGCTTGGAAATGAAATGGTAATATTTATAACATCAACAAAATACAATACTCGCCAGCGGCGTGAAATAGGTAAACCACTGCTATTGGTGGACTACATAGACACCATATTACCCCAACTTACAATAATCTTCAACATACTTATAAGGATTGGAACATACCCATTAGTACTCACAGGTACGGTATATAACACTTTCTTCCTTTCTATTTTTCTGTTAATCACCTTCATGTTTTCTTTTTTATTCAGATTTCTTTCTTTTCGTTAGTTTCAATTCATGGGGTGTTTATTTCCTTTGCTTTGACACTTGTTTTGTTTCAGTTATATTGCGTTTACTTACTTTCTTTTTTGTTATGTTGACGGAAGGCAAAAAGGGTTCTCTCGGATGATTAAAAGAGAGCAATTTAGTTTTTGAGGCGTTAAAATTAACAAGCCACTCCTTGCCCCATTTAACAACAGACTGTAGGTCATTTTTGAGATCAGCTGCCAATTTACCCTTTTCAAACTGTTATGGGACCTTACCCATAATAACATAATGGACTATTCCATACGTAATAAATACTGCGCCTCAAGAGGAAGCAGGGAGTTAAGTCTGAAGTCGGGCGACCAGCTGATCGGTTGAATTCTCTGCCTTCGGGTGAGGAGGAACCCGAACGAGGCTACGCCGAAGGGCGGAATCTCTTTCGGGGAGGTAAACCGGCCCTGAACCCGTTTATACGGGTTCAAAGAGCATATTTTTGGCAGAGTCCACGGACTCGGAGATCCCACGTTAAACCGGCCTTGTGCCACATGATGCCCTTGTGTGGGGAGTGACTAAATACTGCTCAGTCTGAAGTCTGGAGTGAAGTCCGTCAGGAGTCTGTCAGTCAGTCAGAGCGAGTCAGTCAGTCGAGTCAGAGGCAGTCCGAAACAGAGTCACGTTCAGACAATTACTACTAAATCTGATTGTTCGTACTAACACTTTCTATCTCTCTGTATATATTCCTGTTTGTAATATATCTGTGTTATTCCATATCCGTGTTCTTCTTTATTGGTTCTACCTTGGACTATCACCGTAGTACAAGGAACCGGACCATAACACAAACCAATCAAACTTGTTATAAAGACAGGAGTTAGTAATAGTTGTGATCAGCATAGATACTGAGTTGAGAACTGATCACACCAGGAAGTTTGTTGATGAAAATTAATAATGGTGTCAGGGTAAATGAAGATAATTTTTGTAAGTTCTTGGAAAATACCTTTTTCATTGTACAAGATACACAGAAATAAGATTGAAGCTGTTCCTGTAAGACAAAGCTGATTCTTAATCTGAAAAGTTAACTGTTGAGTTTGCTAAAAAAATGTTTCTAAGGTGCTAAATTAATGAAATGTCTCCTATTTTCTCCAAATATTAATCCTACAAAAATTGCCATTAAAATGTAATTGATAGTGGAAAAATATTCCAAGCAATAAAATTGTAATGTTAAAGTAGAAAGATTAATAAAATGAATAGTTAATAGAATGGTGAATGTCAGAGAGTGTTAAGGGGATCATATTAAAATGTAACATAATAAAATAATAATTTATTCAGGAATACGGGATACTGTGCATAATATATATGTTCCTATGGCCTGAATCATTTGAATTCATATATAAATATAAAGATATGCCACATTTAGATTGTTTTAAACATAAAAACTAAAAGCCCACACAAAAGAAGTTATTTTTTTAATAATTTTATTAAATAATGAAAGTTATCAACTAATTTTTAACATTTATCATCTTCAAATTTGTAACATTTGTTTTACATTTTCACACACACATTATATATATATATATATATATATATATATATATATATATATATATATATATATATATATATATAAAGTTTGTTCAGGTCCATCTAATAATGATAATATAAATTCGATTGGCATATATTTTCTGTATATATCACTGTTCCAAACAATCCGTCTGTCTATCTATCTACTATCTATCTAACTGTATGTCTATCAATCTTTCTATTTATTTATCTATTTCGATTGACTGATATCTAACATTCCTTACTATTTATCTCAGTTCCCTTCTGTCTACCTACGTCATTTTTCCTATCTATCTATATATCTATCTATCTAAACCCTTTCGCATCTTTCTACCAATCAATGCATATTGTTTAACTTTATACCTTGTTTAAGTTCGACCTATCAATGTATATTGCTTAACTTATCTATCTATCTATTTATCTATCTATCTGTCTCAGTCTGTTCATATCTATCTATCTATCTATCTATCTCAGTCACCTTCTATCTACGTCACTGTTTCTTTCTATCTAGATTAATTCCCTTCTATCTATATCACTCTTTATATCTACCTGATTGTTCATTTCTATCTAGCTATCTATCTATCTATCTACTTCTATGTATATTTCAATTTCTCTCTATTTACCTCACTGCTCCTATTTATCTATCTCAGTTCTCTTTTCTCTACCTCACTGTTTCTATCTATCTATCTATCTATCTATCTATCTCAGATCCCTTCTACCTACATCACTTTTCCTACATATCTGTCTCAGTCACCTTCTATGTACCTCACTATTCCTTTGTATCTCTCTCATTCAACTTCTATCTACCTCACGGTTTCTTTCTATCTATCTTTCTATCTATATTAGTTCCCTTCTGTCTCCCTCACTCTACGTATCTATCTATCTACCTCACTGTTCATTTCCATCCATCTATCTATCTATATTAGTTCCCTTCTGCCTCCCTCACTCTATATATCTATCTATCTACCTCATTGTTCATTTCCATCTATCTATCTATCTATCTTAGTGCCCTTCTGTCTCCCTCACTACATATCTATCTATCTATCTATCTATCGCACTGTTCATTTCCATCTATCTATCTATCTATCTGTTCATTTCCATCTATCTATCTATCTATCTATCTATCTGTTCATTTCCATCTATCTATCTATCTATCTTTCCATCTATCTATCTATCTCACTGTTCATTTCATTTCCATCTCACTGTTCATTTCCATCTATCTATCTATCTCACTGTTCATTTCCATCTATCTATCTATCTATCTCACTGTTCATTTCCATCTATCTATCTATCTATCTATCTATCTATCTATCTCACTGTTCATTTCCATCTATCTATCTATCTCACTGTTCATTTCCATCTATCTATCTATCTATCTATGTATTACAGAACACGGTATTTTTCTCTCCCAGTCATTTTGTTTATTTTACTCCATTAATTTATGCGTATGATTTTACAAGTTAGAATTTGATTACTTACAAATCAACAATCTTTACACATATTTACTTTCAACTTGTGTCTTAATTTACTATCATCTTCTTCGATCACAAGTAATTAGCTACCTTTGAATTTCCTCAAAATACAAACGGCCAACAGAGATCCAATCCATTACAACAATTATTTATTTCCCTCAATCTTATTATGGCTCACAAGTGCTACACGATTTAGTTTCACTTAATCAATGATATGCCTTTGACACAGCAAAACCTTCATGTAAAATAGAGCGAAAACTATTTACAAGATTTTTGCCAACGTTTAAGTAATGCAATTAATTCTGAGTGTTAATTAAATTGCTGTGATTGTCTTAACACACTTTCCTTTGCTGGCATGTATTTAGTGTCTGTTTTCTTGAACTGAAATATTTGTTCTTTTGTGTTTCGGATTCTGGGAATGGAAAAATAAACTTACGATTGGAGTATTAGTACGATGTAAATTAATACCTTATTTTAAATTGGCATCACCCCTTGATAGGCAGTAAAGATACTAAGTCACACAAGGTTACAGGGTGTGGGGGAATTAGAAAAAGAAACATGAAATAAAAAGCGGAAAGTGAAAAGAGTCATCAGAAGGACAGTAGATAGCAATTGACATTGCATTTACATTTTTGCAGATTAAAGTTAGCTGCAAATTCTGAATCCTGAAGAAAGTTCCACTAGCGAGAAGAGCGACAAAAGAAACTGTTTTCATAGAACTTACGGCTACATCTAGTCAGCTCAACTGTAAATTGATGAGATCTTGATGCCAGTCTAGTCAGTCAATTATGTGTCATACATGATACACGCTTAGGCGATCATGTATCTTTCGATACATGACTGACGAGGCAGATTTTTGTTCCCGCAGTAGGTTGCCATGTCTTTCTGCGGTAGACCATTTGCCATCCAAGGTTATAGAACCCGGTCTGTCCTGCTATTTACCCATAGCTGGCGGGGACGGAAGAAGAGGATTCATACTTTTCCCATTCACGTAAGTGAATGTAATGGATTCGACTGGAATTCGAACTCGGTTCTCCGATTCCTCAATCCGAGCCACTATCCATTACTCCACCATGTCTCCTCTAGTGCCAGTCCTGTACTGTGCTTAAATTAAAATATCTAGGTACCGTAGGAAAAATTATGGTCTTCTTTCTTAAAATTTAAACTCAGCTAGCCACAATTACTAACCCAAATATACCAAAATATTCCTTACACTAAAACAACGCATTCTTACCTACCATTCATACTACTGCAATTGGAATACCTTAATGTCTCTATGGAGTGCTAATATGTACCATTCTATGAAGTCTCCATATGTGCCATTTTTTCTGCGGGGGGGTAAAACAAGAAATTTAAAAATCTAAACCCCAATGTGTTTTTGCCACATGAAATAATCTTTGTACAAGAAACTAAATAAATAGGGTTAGTAATATCCCACCCCTACAATCGCTTAATGTGGTAGAAACATCAGTTAACTGGACAAAATCAATGCTGGACTTTAGTAATATAAAACACTCATTCTTCCATATACTCACTCAAGCACACAGTCATTCAAACCTAACAACAAATACAAAACTCACGACCGAAAAAACGAAAGGTGTCCCGCATCCACCAGAGAACTGACATCTCTGCTCACTTAACGCGGAGAGGTTTAAACTAAAGAAAGTGGGGACAGAAATAAAAGAGGACCAATGAGCATACACCCCTTAGCTAAGTTAACTTTAAGGACAAAAACCATCCCTAAACTAAACTAATTTCGGGCTGGGTAGGCAATGTTCAACACAGCGCAAAATCCTAATGCCTAACCAGCATCAAAGTGCCACTCTAAGTCGGCCCCTCTTACTCGACACAAATAGTCAAGCTTCATCCGATTGTTGACATATTTGATCTCGGAATGCGATGCAAAGCGTATGTTAACGAATTTCAACGCTATGTGTATCCAGACCGTCTTCAGAAGGGTCGAGGTAAGAGATCTTTTGAGGTACCTTGGGGGCCTTGCCTCCCAACAAGTAAGAAAAACAAGAGGCTTACTAATGAATTTAGTGTGGCAGACTGAAGTGGAAGTACGGAAAATCGGTAAAGGAGAATCGGATAGATGTGCGTGTTACATACTTCCGCTCTCCCCTTTAAGGAAAGATTCCTCTGGGACCACAGAAGAACTGCGACTTCTGCCGCACCTCCGACCGATTCATTTCCAGCAAAAGATCGGGACCTAACCAAACGCCGGGTATCTTGCCCGGCCTGCCTGTCCAGAGGAAAGGTTCGGAAAGAAAAACTACCTTCCACGCACTCAACCGCAAACCTTATCGCGGTCGATCTTGGCCACTGTCACCTTCTTTACTTTCTGATTATTTGCTGACTTCGCGATTTTTTTGATCGAACTACAAAGTTTTTTTTTTTGGGGGGGGGTATTTTTTTAAAAATGAAACTGAAAAGAAAGCAAAAAATTACAATTTAAACAAAATTTCTATAGAGAGAGGAAAAAAATAAAAAGCCAACCAAAGTTTTACGTCAGACGAATAAAACATAAAAATTACAGAAGTAAGGAAATACCAAAACAAACAAAACACGAAACGAATTTAATAAGATTAAATGAAAACAGACAAATCCTGGATTAACGAAAACGGTTGGACGTGAAAAAAAAAGTTACTTAAAAAATATAAACATCAAACAAAAAGAATAAAATTACACAAAGTAAGACACCAGAAAAAAGTTAGACGTAGAAAGTAAAAAGAAACAAAAAATTAAAATTAAACGTATAAAAGATCTTATTTTTAATGACAACAGAAAAAAAATAAAACAAATTATGAAAACAAAATACAACAAAAAACGAAACACGTAAAAATAACAAGTCTTAACACTTAAAGAAAAGGCCGACGTAACACGAAAAACAAGTGTTACCAAAACAAAAAGGCCAACGTAACACGAAAAAAAAAAAAAAAAATAAACAGATTAAACAAAATAAAAACGAAAAGTTAAACTAGAACTATTTTCTTCGGGCGTCAAAAACAGTGAAAGAAGGAACACGTAAAAACACAATGATACGCAAGAATTATAAGAGAAAAGATAAAAATAAAACGAAATTAACGTCGGGCGGCCATTAAAAAAATTAAAAGTAAAAACTGAAACATCAATATAAATTAAAATAGAAAGTAAATCAAAAGCCTAATAAAAAAAGGTGAAAAAATAACTGATGGGAGGGCGAAAAACTGAAAAAGAAAAAAAATCAAACTTTAGACAAAAAAAACTTAAGAAAAACTAAAACTTGAACTTAACGTAAAGAATAGGGTTTTCAAAAATTTTCCAAAGTTTTGAGTGACGAAATCACGTCAGGCGCAAGGTACTGGTCGCACTGGTGTGAAAAAGAACTCATACGAAAAATCAAAAACTTTTTGTAGTTTTTTTCGACTCAAAAAGTCGAGTCGCCAGATCAGGACCGATGACCGATAATATTGCCGATTTTTCTATTGATTTTGTCAAGAATCTCTAAATATATAGCAGGAGCACGCTGCCATATGTGGCAGTAAGTTTCTAAGCATGGACGAATAATAGACTCATAGATATTTCGTATAGATTCTAGAGAGAAAAAGTTTCAGACACGACACAGTGAACCAACCTTGTAGCAGCTGACCTAACAATAGATTCAATAGAGTCTTTTGACTTCATGTCAGCCGAGAACGTTAGCCAGAGTATGCGCAACGAGTCATTTTCCTGGACGTTAGCATCAGCCATGCTGATGAAAAGCAGAAAGGATTGGTTTGTCCCATAGCTATCTTATTTATCGTGTCAACTGACGAGATTGTTAAACTATCTGCTGAGGTAATAGTGTATGTATATCACTGCGAAGAACGATATTGAACACAGAATAATCGGCGCCTGGTCTGTATTTTGTTCAACACCATGAGATGTTAGAAAACCAAAGTATTTACCTGAAAACTCAAGTCTCATAAGATCAAGATTTTCACATGAGTATGATATGTATAGCGACTAACTCGTTAAGCAATTTTTAAGTAGATATATAGAATGATTTCCTCAGTTCAAAAATTTAGGATGGATTCACGCAAATAAATCCTGTGAGTCATTAAGAGGACTGTACCTCATCGGATCTCGAAAGGAATCGAAAATAAGCCGAAATCAGTCCTAGAAAAAAATAGCCATTTTTCTGGAAAACATTCTCAGGAGAACGATTTCATAAATTACAAACGCTAAATGTTCGCTCACTGAATGAGTAATGCTTCCTTATGACGGAAGGGCTAACCTGATCATTACCAAATAACAGAAACCACATCAGTTGAACACATTCAATAGCACGAACAACAAATGTCGTTAGTACATAAAAATATTGACGTTCCACCCGACTTAAAACAAAAGGTTAGGAAGGAAAGCCCTCTCTGTATTTGAAAGAATGATGGCAATTACTGGATGTGTGAAACCTATTTTCCTGAAAAATTCTTTTAAGAAAAATATTTTATAAATTCAAAGCGACAGTAATACTAAATGTTCAGTCAATACCAAATGTTACCTTATAAGGAAATAGCTAATCTCATCATTACAAACAGGCCAAAATGACTGAGAGGAATGAAATACAAGTAGCTGTGGAGAGCCATATCTTGAAAGGATCTGGCAGATAAAAGAAGATTTTATAAATCTGAACCAAAAGTAATACTAACTGTTCGATCAGTGAATGTCAATTGTTTCATTATAAGGAAACAGCTAATCTCACCAATATATATAAACCCAAAATGACCCAGAGGTTTTGAAAGGATCTGGGAGATAAAAGAAGATTTTATAAATTTCAGACCAAGGTTACAATAACTGTTCGGTCAATGATTATCGAATGTTTCCTTATAAGGAAATATCTCATCTTACCATTACGATTAGCACGAAGTGAACCTTAACATTCCGGGCTGGAGTTCCAACTAGGGTTCATTTGTTAGTGGTTATAACCTTCCTTTCAGTTTTACGACAGCTGA